TAGTGTTGAAAACTGTTAAGACTCTAAGCTACTACTTCTGCCATCCATCCAGAACCTCAGTGAGTTCAAGTACAGCATAAGACAACAAGGAGCTTGCTAGTTTTGGTAGTGGGTCTCTGTAGGCAAGACTGTAAACATGGAGAGGAAGCTACAGTTGCTAGCTTTTGTATACCCTGATCACTTATCAGTAAACACTCAAATCTTTCTGAGCCTGAACTATAGAGGGAACAGGTTTGCCAATTTCCCATGGGTCTGCTTGGAGTCCATTTCAACAATAAACATTCACTAAGGACTTCACTCACTCAGGGCTTCCTCCACTCCCTACAAGGCACAAAGTCAGGTATGTCTGCCAAGGGTGTTTCCAGAAACATTTAATTGAGAAAAAATAAAACACCCCCCCTAAAATTGGGGAGCACCATCCTATGGAATAGATCAAGGGCTAAATAAAAAGAGAAGAAGGAGAAAGCTAGATAAACACTGGAATTTCCTTTTCTGATTCCACAGCACTACAGACCAAGTTGTTCCCACTGCCATGTAATGAGCTGCATTCCTCAACTGTGAGGTAAAATAAACCCTTTTGCCTATAAGTTACTTCCTGTCCAGCATTTAGTAGAAATGCACTAAAAATTAATGATGAATCACAAGCAAAACACAGCAATTATGATGTGACTAAAGAATTCAAAGTACTGGAAAGATGATGGTTCAGTGGTTAAGAGTACACAAGTTCAATTCCCAGGACCCACATCCAACAGCTCACAATGGCCTATAAAACTCCAGGTACAGGGGATCTAACGCCTCCTCTGTTTGGCCTCTATAGGTACCTGTGCACACATGTCATACACATAGAGAAAGATACTCAAATAAATAAATCTCAATCTAAGAATGGAGAGAGTTCAAGAATCTCTCATCACAGCACTTTTGTGGGATTTCATTTTTGTTTGGGTTTGTGTTTTGTTTTTGAGACATCTCACTATATAGCCCTGGATAGTCTGGAACTCATTAGGTAGACCAGGCTAGCCTTGAACTCATGGAGATACATCCACCTCTACTTCCAGAGTACCTTATTAAGCCATCTCCACATCCATCTAAAGTACACATTTTGTCTGACGTAACTAGTAAGGACCACTGCAGGTTCAAAATGATTACATCTACTACACTGTCATATAGCGTGCAAAACCTACTTTTTTCCTCTTTAAGAATACTACCAGAAACAAATACACATAACTCTCAATTATTTAATTTAAACTAACATTATCCTAACTAAAGGATAACTTAGAAATATATGTTCAATGTTTTAAACACAGGTACACATGGGGGGGGGGGCTCAAGCTCATCTGTGTAATATCATTTACATAAGTAAACATGTTTCAAAATGAAAGACTGCTAAATGGATTGAAACTGCTGATTACATACACAAACTTGAAAGATTTGTATAAATCAGCAAACATTGTAATAACATTAATGCACACTGTAACAAATTCCTATTTGTAGCAATTTAAAATCACAAATGTAATTTTTAAATATTGGAACTGTTTGTCTTATTATCACTTGACAGTTGACTGATACTCTGAAATACTTTATAAATATTTTTTTATAAACATGTAAAGTTTATCAAAAAATGTGTAAACTACTTAATGGAAGGGAACATGCTAAGGTATCCTCAAGGAAATATATTAATTTCATATAATGCCAATTATGTAAATAAAGGCAAGAATAACACAATAATTTTTTTAAAAGGCATTAATAGAAAAAATTTTTGCATTGATCCAAGATCATGCAAACCAGAAACTCAGGTTAGCCTGGACTCCCTCCTCCTACCTTAGCCAAACACTTAATTTCATTTCTCCACTAATTTCTCTTATTCCCTAGTATTACTACTATAGCCTAAACCAATATTCTGTGTCTTGGACCCTCAAGGCTTGGTTGACCTCCTGTACTAAATAATTGGTTTTGTTTTTAAATTCAAAATGATGGTGTTCATTTGCTTCAGTGACTTCCCATAGGCTACTCAGGATGAAGACCAAAATACTTAGCAACAGATACTTGAATCCAGCCTAGAGATGCAAAGTTAACTACCAGCAGACTAAGCACTGATTTATTACATTACTTATCTGACACCTTCAGTGAGTGACATAAAATGGAGAGCACAAGCCTGTCCAGAGGGAGTCAGATTCCAACTGAGTGTTAGCCATCTGAAAATACACACTGGAGTGTGGATCTAGCCTCAAAATCTTTTAGGAAATATCAGAGATCCACTTTCACATGAATCTCCCACTCTGTGCATGCTAATAACTAACTCAGGTTTCTATGACTAGGGAATAGACAGCAACTGTAAGCCACATCTGCCCCTGTCTATTCACTTCACCTGGCCACACAACTACTATATGAGTCATTAAAACATTTCTTGCATCCTTGAGGATGCCAAGCCTTTTTCCCACCAGGACTCCCTTCCTCCCATCACTACACTTCAGTTAGCTTTCTTTCACTTCAAGTCTCAGAGCCCCTTCTCCCTCAATGAAACCTTCCTCTTCTCATTGCTCTCCACCTCCACGACAAATGCTAGACAGTCCTTCCCTAAATTCTGACTGCTCTGAGTACAACTTTCTAACTCCCCAAACCAAAAATCACCTATTAAATGTCCACTAACCTCTCCACATGGGAGGCTCCAGATGGGCAGTCTGAACAATATTTATTATTAACTAGTAACTTGGTTATAAAACAGTATAGTTATAAAATGTTCCTCTTAAAATAATTATCAAACTATACCTAGCATTTCAGAAACATAAAATGCTTAAAGCAGAGTCAGAATTATAATACTCCAACTATAACAAGTAATAATAACCTAAGATTTATTGGTAATTGGCTGAATGCTATGAACTATATTAAGGACTCTGCACATATTATGTCACTCAGTACAACCTGTAAAGTAGATGTCTCGGTCATACAGAGGAAAACAATTTGAGCTGATTAGAAATTAGCTCAAAAATCACACATTTTAGTCACTGAAAAACTGTAAAAATGACTAACTCCTGAACTTAAACCCCTACTAGACTAACTAATGCATTCATAAAGAAACACTAACCCAACAAGCAGCTCTTAAACACCATTAACAGGAAATATGGCCATGATTTGCTTCCAATCACCTAGTAAAGTGAGGTTCCTCACTCCTGTCCCTAGCCCTTAAACACACACACACACACACACACACACACACAATTTTTACCTTCTATATTACAAACACACAAAATAAGTATGATCTCAATGACAAATGATTCTATAAAAATACTTTCTGAATTATTCTTAATCAAGTCCATATTTACACATTAATTTGCTGTCATTTTAAATGTACACTTAACTTTAAATGTATTTGCTTGCTCAAAGTAAAATTACTCTTAATAAACTGTTTTCAGATGAGAGGAAACAACAACAAAATACTAAACAAAGAGAAATATAAATTGTTAATGCTGTGGAAATAGATAATACAGAGGTCCTTCGCTACTTGGACTCTCGACACATGAATTCGAATTGTCTGATTCAGTACCAAGCAAATGCAATATATATCATTTGCTTCCTATCCCAAACTAAGGATGCAGCTCACTAACCACCCCTCAGCATCAGAACTCTGTTTCTCACACCGAACTCAGGAACAACAATATATATCCATTCATTCATGGGCTATAAAGTATAAGGGTTGTTATTACAAGACTTAAATAGACCTTTTAAAATTATGCCATAAAATGTACACATCTACATTTTCCTTCAAATTTGTATTTTAACTTCAACCAATTGAAAATTCTTAACTGTCTAAATAGAAATTCATTAAGCTAAAAATTAGAAATTTCTATAAACTTTTGCCCATACAAAATATAAAGGAAGCTACTTATTAGTACATGGCGGTTGACCATAATAGCTAACTGACTTTAAAACATCACTGCTGTCAAAAGAGCTCTGATGCCAGCCTTAAATACATTCTTCCCCAAATGCTCATCAGATCTTATATACATACCATGGGAAATAAAGCTGTACAGAAAAACTGCTTTATTTTTTCAGGAGATATTTCCCAGATCAAATAAGATTTGTTTCCCTCAGTTACAAAGGCAAAGATTAAAAAAAAATTGAAAGTACCTAAGTTGAAATAGCAAAAAAAAAAAAAAAAAAAAAAAAAAAAAACCAAATTACAGAAAAATAGTATGAAACTATACTAGAAGTACTCCATAGGTAAACAAACAAAAGTAAATGAACCACCAGGCAAGCAATTATTAACTATGCTGACAGACAGAGAAAGCCCTCACTACAATAATGTATTGTCCCAATTATTTAACTGGGGCTCAAATTTTAACCTAGGCTTTTCAAAATCCTCACGCTTAAGTTCCACTACCAGTTTTCTACAGGGGTTCTATCTTTCAGGTGGTCTCACTTCAAATACATGATCCTTCCTCACACATTCGAGAATTTGCTCATGAGAAAAGAGACACGTTTGTTAAAAGTGAATTGCCTCCCAAGTCTCCTTTTAGGTAAAAATACAAAAATGACTTAAAGGCTTGTGCAAGCAGAGCTCCCATTTCATGACACACCCCCCCCCCCAAGAGCTCAGGTCAGATTAACTGACCAAATTTATACAAAGCCTATGTCTTACATTTAAAAAATACAAAAACAAAAAACAGAGCACAACCCTGGGTGAGCAAAGTCTAGCAGCTGTCAAGACTCAGTGACTTCATGGGATGGCAGAAAGACTGACCGCAACACGTCCTCGATGAGCGCACGCTGAATCTCCCATCCCCACTCACAGCTGTCCATAACAGAGGAGTCTGAAAACTAAGGGACTCTAGCCGGCTATGATTCCACTCAGCTAGCTATGAGCCCTCAACCTTTAACACTGACGTTTCACTGAAAACAACAGCAGCAAAAACAGAAAAAGAGAAAGCAGTGAACTGTTCCTTGCTCTACCAAAAGAAGAGAGCCTCAATTTGAGAGTACCAGAATTTAAGAAACAAACGAACCTGTGTCTGTGTTCGTCGGGCCCATGGATCAGGAAGACTCCGGGGTTTTTAGCCCCTTTGCCGGCATCTACGTGAGGAATTAACACATCTTCTAAGCCCAGATCAAAACGTTTGTGTTTTGAAGAGTCTGGAAGGAAGAAGAATGCCCCAAAACACAGGGTGATGAAGGCACTAAGAATAAGGAGAAGGATAAACTTCTCAGAGAGTCTCAAGGTAGCCCTGTGGTGTGGGAAGGAGGGCGGCCCCAGGTTCAGAGGTGGTATCCTACGACCAGACAGGGGCAGCAGCGCAGGGGTAGTCATCGTTTAGGCTCTTGGACGGAATACTTTATAAAGTTCTCATCTTATATCATACGTACAAGACATCGAACCGTTTTTCAAAAGCTTGGCAAAAATGGATAACTCAAACTCAATTTCCCTCCTGTCAAAGGATTGTTGTGCTTTTGCTTTTTTTTTTTTTTTTTTTTTTTTTAAACAAGGCCACCTCTTTCACGCTCTCCAATTACATCCAGAAACCCGGTTGACCTCCCAAGCGATCGCTGGTTCCTGTCCGGTAAGATCTTCTCGCCATTTGGCGCTCAGTGCCTCACCGGGTGATCGCCGAATGCCCTCTTCATTCCTGGAAGTGAAGCGTGCGAGCCACACTGCAGAGAAGCTGCAAGGTGGGTTCTGCCATGCCCGCGCCCCGGCGCGATGCTCAGAGGCGGCCACCCGCCCCGGTGGGCGCCCGGCGACACGCTCACTTGCAGCAGGTCGGTCCAGTTGATCGCGTCCGGAGCCTGCGCTCCACCGCTCCGCAACCTCCGCGGTTTCCGAGCAGCGGCGCCGGGCGCAGCAGCGGCGAGGCTCAGCCGGGGCCGCGAGGGCGACCGTGTCCCGAACACCTCAGCGCCCGCGCCCCGCGCGTTCTGTCAGGAGCGGAACTTCCTCCTCTGCCGAGCGGCCGCCCCCGCCCGGCTCCTCCTCCTTCTCCTCCTCCTCTTCCTCCTCCTCCTCAGCGAGCCCCGCCGCCCGCTTCCCGGCCGAGCCCAGCCACGGGAGCCGAGCTCCCGCGCCTCGGCGGCGTGCGAGGTAACCGGGCCGCGGCCCTCGGACCGACCACCCGGGGCCGGCGCCGGCTCATTCCTCGCACCGCCTGGGAGAGGCGGGCGGGCGGGCGCGCGGGGGCGAGCAGCCGCGCCTCGGGCGGGCGCAGGGCGGCTCCGGCTCGCTCCGGCTGGGCCGGGCCTCGGGTGGCTCGCACGCTCTCGCCGCCGGCGGTGCGGGTCCGCAGCCCGGAGCTGGTCCCTGGCCTCTGGAAGCCCGTGGGACGCGGGGCGGCTGCCGGGCGGACACCGGTTGGGTCGAGCGGAGCGGCGGCGGGGTGTGCGGGCCGGCCTGCCGCCCCGACTCGCGAGTGGGCGTCCCCGGGCGGCGGAGTGTGAGGTGCGCGCGCACGCTCCCGGCCGCCGCGCCCCTCCCCCGCCCGCCGGGCCGCTCGGGCCTGGCCGCTGCCGGGAGCCGCGAGCTCCCGGAAACCCCGGCGGCCAGACGAGGGGGACCGGGCGCCCGGGACTGGAAAGTGGCGCTGGGATCTGGGATTACCGGAGCTGACGGATTCCGGGGGCCAAGGCTGCCGCCTGCCTCGGTAACAGAGACTCGGGCCCGGGGTTTAACTGCAGAGTCTCAAACTTCCACGCGTTCTTGGGCACGCGAGGCTGGATGAAGAAGGTGGCACCAGCCACGTGCCGGTTCCGTGTTAAAATGGCAGCCTTGCCCTTTCAACTGGGTTCCTTCCTAAGGAATCCGGCTACCTGAGTAGGACTGGAGAGTCCCCATGGTTCGGTCCCTAGGACACGCTGTAGTCATCTTCACCCTCCCCGCCCCCAAAAGATAATAGAGATGAATGGGCGGGTGTTAAAAGGAAATATTGTTGAAGTTGAGGCTTAGAAACAATTTGAGTCAATTGTGTTATCTATGACATAGGGAAGAATCAGGTTGTGGTTTAGTATAATGGGTTTCATAGCAATGCATATGTATCTTGGATCCAATTTACTTTCAGCTTGTTTTTTTCTCTAATCTTAATATTTCCTTTCTGTTCTTGTACACATCCTCATTGGTGGCTGGTAATTGGCGAGGGGGCCTGTAAATGCAGGGGTGGGAAGTCAGCCCGAAAAACTCCATGTTCCTTGGCAGGATTCAGAACTACATTTCAGTAGAAATTTCTAGAGGCACTGCATACCTAACTTCCTACCACAGGACAAAAGAAGTCTTTGCTTTACAAAATAAAACAACACAAGACATAAAAATGTTAAGGGTCATTGCTAAGGGTGCTGAATCCAAAGTGAATTTTTTGTGGGACACTTGTGAATGGATGTAAGAAATCCCTGCCTTCCGAATGTGTTGTTTTCATAGATCTCTAGTGTTGAGACTGTGGCAGCCAGAGGCAAAGAAATGCTATGCTGTCCTGCTGAGGTCATTCTTTTCCATAAGAGGCTCAAGGGAAATACATACCGAACTCTGAACAAAATAGCAAGTTGTATAAATCTTGAAAAGTAAATATTACCTAGCTTGACACCCAACTGTTAGCCACAAGAAATAGCAATCGTCGGAAATCTGCCATAACCTATTCTACAAATGTGACTTTGGAAATTTCAGTCTTAGAGCTGGTGAAAAGTTTTATACACGCCTGGCTCTCATTCTTGCCCTTGCCTATTTTTCTTCTGCATGAGATAAAAGTATTAATTTTACAGACTTTTGAACTGTTTTATTATACTCCTACACCATCCTTCAAATCATTACTAATTCTCCCTACCCCCTCTTTCCCTCTCCAACCCACCTCCTGTCTTCTCCTTCATCTCCCTTTCCATCTTTCACTTCTAAAAAGACAGAATTAAAAGGATCGATACTGTTTTTAAAAAGCATGTTGAAATTCATGATTACAAGTATGAGAATATGCATATAAGTACAGTAAAAGGGAATATTGAGACTAGCTAAGATGTTGGTATTATGTGTAATTTTCCCCATGTGTTCTGTTTGTATTACATTTATAATTAATTTAATTAAAAATTTATAAAGAATGGTACTTGAGAAAGTTAAGGTCAGATTTCAGGAGAAGGAGTCAGTCATATCAAGGTGAACACAGACTGATGCATCTGAGGGGAATGCACAGAAAGCAGAGAATGAACTGGGTTATGTGTGAGTACATAACAGAGGAATTTCATTCCAGATGCCTAAAGAGAATATTTCACTTTCAAAGCATAGTCAGGCTTTGATCAAAGGTGTAGACAAGATTCCAAAGAGGCAGATTAAATGGTAATTTCCCTCTTACAAATCCATATAAGTTAATTCCTATTTTAGGAGGTTAGAAGTATTAAATTTTAACAAAATAAAGTAATCCCTACAGATTTCAGATTGACGTGACCATTCCTGGGATCCACCCATGTACTACAATATTGATGTTCCTTATGTTTGTTTAGCCTTATATTGACTCTTCCATTGTTAAAATAAAACAATTCTGACCTTGATCCAGGTTGTATCATCATCTAGCCCCATTCTAAATGAAACTGGGAGGGGAGTAGTGCAAAAAGATGGGTTTTTATTTACTTAACCTGATTCTTCCTTGTTCCAACTGGTTTCCAACTTGTCCAAGAAAAGATGTCAGATGAGAAATGACCGGGTATTACCACTGGATTCTTAGGGAAATAACTAGGCTCCAGCCTTGCTTGTTCCTCCACTACTATTTGTCTCTAGAAAGCATTTTCCTTAAAGATCTGGGATAATATGTAGTTTAAAGCTATGAAATTTTCAGGTTAGCTGCACGAAAGTCAGCAAACCCAAACAAGCCTAGGCCAACTCTCTGGGACTGAAGATGCATAGTTTATTTGCTCATAACGATAAATCTGTTTACGTGTGGCAAATCTACCAAGTCCTAAGACTAGAGTAGCAGGAATCTCCAATAAGCTTGCAGTTATCTGGGCAAATAGGTGTGTGGTGACCACTACCAGATAGTGGGAAAGCTCTTAGGAGAACTCAGGGCACCTCAGTCACCTCAGTGAGGGAAGGAGGGAGGAATGGGTCAAGTGTCACCCGAGCTGGGCCTCCAGTGACCTAGTCAGGGTCTGTTCTAGCCTAGTGTGATGTAACCACAGCACTCTCCAATAGTTTGCCTAGCTCTGATCCACCCCCTCCCCCATATCCTTCAACTGAGAAAGTTAAGATGGTGAGGTATTATTGCCTACACTGTAAGTAAAATGGGCTCACAATGACTAATGCATGTCATCAACACCTACCTGTAATCAAAAGACTTTTTTTTTCCCCCCAGTGATCCTTGCTTTCATAAACGCTATTCTGTGGTTTCAGGTAAATGGTTTTTCTTTTTGGATCCATTGGTAAAATGGAGCTATTCAGACAAAGAAGAGGTACTGTAGATTATGGACAAGAGTACTGAACCAGTAGCTAAAATACATATATTTTAGTCCAATCTCTGAATTTACTACACTTGCTTATTTATAAAACCATAATAAGTGGTGCCTATTACTAGAACTGTTTACGGTCAAGTAAATTCTTATTTGTAAGAATCAACTAAGCTTGTGACTAGGGAATTGACTCCATGGTTCTAGAGAGCCTCAGCATACATATAAAAAAGCCAGGCATGGAACCATGATCCTGTAACATCAGCACTAGGATCGACTGGAAACAAGAGGGTCCCTGGGGCTTGCTGGGTAGCCAGTCTAGCACAAACAGCAAACCCCAGGTTCAGTGAGAAACCCTTTCTCAAAAAAATTAAGGAAAAGAGTGTGGTGATATTTTGTTTATGACTCCGGGTTTTTATTTTTAAGAACAGTTGGAATTCGTGCTACAAAAGGGAATTAAAGGAAGATAACTAATGTCAATTTCTGAGATACATACATGAATACACAAGTATTTACCACACACATCAAACAAAAAGTATATATGCAGGGTAGTGGTGGCCCAGCACTCAGAAGGCAGAGACCAGCCTGGTCTACAAAGCAACTTCCAGGAAAGTCAGAAAAAAAATGCATATATGCATTATATGGAGGCAAAAGATTCATACACATAAAATAATTCTTTTAAAAAATCTAAAACAAAAAACAACTCATTGGCTCAGTATAAAATAAGTTTCCCATTTATGTGACCTAGAGATTGAAGTATACCTAGCCTTCCTCTGGCTAACTATCCTTTCTCTAAACTTAGTCTATGGGTCTCAGTTGAGCTACCTTGAAAGAAGCCATGATGAAAGTAGCAGAGACACTGAAGAGAAAATCTACACATGCCTCCTATTGAGTGCTCAGATTTTCCAGAAAGCCAGGGTGTCCATTGTGCCCAAAAGTGCATAGAAAGCCATGTCCTTGTCATTACTCAGCAAGGTACTCTGAGGCTATGGCCCAGGTGGACCTGGTGCAATTCACA